TGGCTTTGCTCTTCCAAAAGCCATAATTCACCTCACTGCCTGTAGACTCATTTAATCATCACAAAAACAAAAAGATTAGACGCCCGGGATTAAAACGTGTGGAAGAGAACAGGCTCGCCGCACTTATTTAAAGCCCTCATTTGATCGCCTTTGAATTACACACAATAAAACCCTGCTTAGAACAAAATTATTTTAGTTCCAGTTTGTCGGGGTTCCCCTGCAGAAAATCTGCATTTTTCTATGCCTGGAATTAAAACATTTTTTTTCTCCTCTCTTTCTAAATCCGCTCACACATTTGTTTTCCGTCCCACCCACTTCCCTTTATCTTTTCTATACCCACCTCCCCATCGACTCCCTTCCCCCCTCCTCGTCCTCTTCGCCTCAGCACTTAGAGGCTTAAGGGAGGGATGTACCACACGAGCCACTCCCTTCTTACAGCCACCCCTTCCCACAGTGTGGAATGGTACAATCCTGCTTTGCATAAGTTTCCTCTGAGTGGGTCTGTGTGTGTGTGTGAAGGCCAGTACTGAAAGAATTATTAGTCCCTTTTGAACGGTTTGGATGTATGTCTAGAGAGAAAGCTAGCGTGCCGCTGTACTATACCTTTATCACTTAAATTGTTAAAGCTATAATGTATTGCGCCTACCCTGTCCCTGGAATGGGCAGTAACTCTTTAATGTATTACTACAACGGAAAATCGGTGAGTAGTCTCTCTGGGAATGTGTGTGTGTCTGAGACAGAAGGGAGCTGTATAAAGTGTGGTTGCCTGTGTGTGTATGTATACGAGTGTATCCCTTTGACTGTCAGTCTGATTTTATGTGAAGTTTTTGCACTTATTGGTTTGAACTTTTAAAGCACTTTGTTCGCCTCCTTGCATGCAAGTGCAAGCGTCCGATGCTCCTCTGCCTCATTTTCCACTGCATCAGTTAAAGCTGTCACACAGTGCAATTAAAACAAGTGACTCAAACCTGCTTTGTACCACGTACAAGTAAATATTCCAGGTTAGACATATTTTAAAAAAGGAGGTTTTGCCCTTTTTTTTCCAAAGCATTTTCCTCTCATGCAGAGAATGAAGCAGAGCAGCAGAACGTTTTTTGCAGTCTTGAATTATTTTTACTGGCTGCTCGCTTCAACTCCGAGACTGGGTTGAAATAATAGCAAGTGGGAGTCTGGGAATGATTAAGGGAAAGAGGCTGCCTGTTGAGGTTAGACTTTCCTGTTTGCAGATTGAGCTCCAAGCACCAGTGTTGCTGTTATTCCATCTGTTTTTAATCACTTTAGCATTCTTGACGCCACAGGGAGCCTAATGTGATTTCTGAACTTTTCTGTAATGACTTCTTTGATTTTTGTTACTCTAAAAAGCTTTTCTCTGTGACTGCTTTTGTGTCAATACATACGTTAATTAAAGTGTGCTGCCCTCAGAACTTTGGAGTTTCCATAGTTTTTGTGTGTGTGTGTGTGTGTGTGTGTGTGTGTGTGTGTGTGTGTGTGTGTGTGTGTGTGTGTGTGTGTGTGTCGACTTGTAGGTGTAAAGGCGAGCTATGCTTGAGGTGTTTTACTGTAAAAATCTAGTGGACTGATGAGTCTGTTCAAGGGCAGTCTAACAACGGGTGAAGTAGCTCTGCAGTGCATTTCAGTAATCCTTAAGTAATGATCCTGTCATAAGCAAATTACGCAGACAGATTTCCACCTGTCACTGCACGTGTTGTTTTTGCTGTTAGATAAAAAGGGCATTTGAAAGAGAAATGAAGAGGTTAGCTTTTTTATGGCATTGTATTTAAAAGGTCATGTTACTCATGCTTGTGTTTCAGCTTTCCTCATAACCCATTACGGCATTTCCCTTTTTGTTCTCGCTGCACAAAAGATGACTTTGATCTTTTTCATATTAAGTATTAACAGGCTTGTGTTACATTTGGTGATGGGGAGAAAATTGATAGCATGTGGACAGAATGGGCAAACTTTTATGATCAAAAGCACTTGTTAAATAACCACCAACAACTTTTTTTTCTTTCTTTTTTTTTTTCTGTTTTGCTTGCAAGGAAAAAGAAGGATGGTGCTCATTCTTTGCACCAACTTCATCCACATTAATTTGTTATAATGCAGAGTTGCATAGCAGGCTCACCATCTGGAGCACTGGGAGAATTCACAGTGGGCCATTGGCTTGTGAGTTGGTGGCACGGTACCAATACAGATGGAGCAGCTCACTGAGCTTTCTTCCGTTGCCTATTAGTGGAAAAGAAAAAATTGAAGTGAAAGCCCTGCAGCGATTTTTTTTTTAGACCCCTTTTTGTTGTTGTTGTTGTTGTTGTTGTTGCTGTTCTGGTGGTGGTTGTTGTTTTGCTTCACAGAAAGCTGTCCTTCACAAGTGGAAGGACATAAAATTAGACCAGAAAATAGCAAAAACGCTAATGTCACAACATGTTTTCTTTAAAGTGCCACATGCCTGTTGTTGTTGTTGTTGTTTTTGTGGTGCAACAGGTTGGATCCTGCTTTCTAGAAGCCTACATGGCGCATGTGTTTTCTGCACTGCAGTATGCATGCTTGACTAAATATCCAGGACAAAGTCAGAGTATTTGCATAAATTGTACGGCATACTGTGATTAGTCAGCAAAGTTGTGTTGATGCCAAAACCAAATTTTTGTGACATTACTGACTGGAAGGTATTTTTGTGCTTCTTGACGTTACATTTGGATGTAAGATTTAGCTGTTTAGCAGTTTATATGTTTTTATTAGATATGATATAATAGAATAAACATTATTATTCTCTTCAGATCTATCCATCTCCTTCAGTTGCTTTCTTTGCTTTCTTCTAGTCAAGAATTCAATTCTTTGAGGGCATTTAATGTTTATATTTCACTTAAATGTGAATTCACTGAAATTTTTATTTCTTCACATGCTCATGTAAGCGTTTGGCTTCCACTGCTAACTCTTACAACATCAAAACGTCGTGCCACTAAAAGTTGGTCTTTGTGTTGGCTCAGTGTCACGGTTTTATGCATAAAAATACTGAAGCTTTTATTTTCCAAAAAACATTGGCAGATATCGCACACAAATGTCGAACAACGCCCCTCTAAGAGAGGAGACTGAGCTCAGCTTTAGTTTGAAGAGGCATCGATTCTTTCTAAGCCCTGTAAGTGTTTAAGATTTGGACTTGAAACAAAATGCCCCAGAGAGTTGGTTCGATTCCAAGTAAAGACATACCATATAAAACAGGACAAGCCATTAAGAGTGTGTTTGAACTCTTCTCTTTGAGGTTTTTGGCAATTAGACAGACTGATTCTTTCCTTACTTTTATTTATTTTTACATTTCCCTTCCCTTCCTGTTATTCTGTGATGTCCTTTGTGGTCGTCGACAGATTTTCTTTCAGCCTTTGATATTTTGATCGGTAAGGCGTGAACTTCAAACACAGGTACCGCAAGGCTGGGAGGCACATGGGAAGGTGTGGAGGATATATTCACCAAAATCAAGCTTCATAGATTATCATTAACTAAAAGTCATTGTTTTCTTTCATAATTTATGATTCATATTCAAATAATTAGTTGTAAATAAAAAAAGGTGCCACTGTAAGATTTGTCTTTTGTGTTGATTTTATTTAAGAAATAATGGCTGGTGCTCAAATAGCCAGTATAGGCGTGTGCTGGTGTGCTGATCCGTGTGAGTGACGGCTTTTAATTAATGGCCTTGTAAAAGGAAACCCAGGCGGGCCCTCTCCTCCATAGGCCTGGCGGAATGAGGCACCCGGTGTTTGGGATGGTTTATTAATGCTTTGACTGGTTAGCCCAGGGTAAAAAGGACAATTAGCATTATCCGCTGCCATATGCTGCCCATTGAGCGTCTGACAGAGGCGAAAGACAAAGCCCGGGTTCCCGTGTGAGGCTAACCTGAGATCTCTCTGGAACTTACTATCAACCCTGGTCACATGTGTAAGCCAGAAGACCCATGAGGGTTGCACCCCTCCCAGAGCACTTTAATTACACACCCAGACAACAGCGTGCGGGAGACCTGCTCACTCAGCAGAGTCTCGCTTAAGCTGCATTTTGATGTGATGTTCACGTGTATGTGCGAGCGTTTCAGCGCGAACACTTTGTTTGCCGTGCATATTTTCCATCAGCACCCCGTCATAAAAGAACTTAAGTAAGTAAACAACCTTTGTGGTCGTCATCACGTCCACGTGCATTAGGAACCAATTTGGAGGAGTGAGCTGTCAACATCTGAGTGTGAAATGAGGCCATTAAACGGCAGGTTTATCTTGGTGAGTGGGGACACAAGCTGGAAATGTGCAGGTGGAATCGAGCTGGCAGGTCTGGCTCTGATTAGTGTTACACGACAGTGGGGTCATCCAGTCCTGTCTGTGGGAGGGAGAATTTGTCCAAAACTTTTTCTCCCTGTTTCCCTCCTTTATGCTCTGCCTCGCTCCCTCGACCTCCATCTGGAGTGGATGAAGTCAGAGACCACATCACTGGTGTTTGGACTCCAGTCTTTTTGATCTCACCGCCCAGATTGGCACACACTCACAGCTGTACAACAGCGTGCTCATTGTGTCTCCTTTCCCCCGCTAGCTTGCAGGTAGAAGTATAAAGAAAGCAAAGCAGGCTCTTTTTGTAGCGCTTATTTGATTTCTGCCTCTCTGGGAATGCTGCAATTTGCCAGGCATTTAGTCTATGCATGTAAGCGGGTGTCATTATACTTCCATTAGAGGTTGAGTTGATCTGAAATGCAAATACTTCTGATAATCCACTCCCCCCGTCATGAGCTTGATTGCTTGCTAGTCATTAGAATGTGTGTATTTATAGTTGTAGGGCTGTTTCTGCAGTGGATGTGTGCGTGTGAGATCACATACTTGTATAGACCCTAATATGATTGTGCTTTGCATTTTTAGGAAGCGTGTTTACTTCACAGAAACTGATATAAGAGAGCTGAATGAGTTTGAACACCCTCATACCGTGTGACAGTCTTGGTGTTTCGGTTTCTTCTAATGACGATCATGTTCTCCTGGCAGGTGTACGCACCATCTCCAAACTCAGAAGACTTCAACAGAGATTCACCTTCGTACTCTTCTCCAAAACCCTCCAGCAGTATGTTTGCAAGCACTTTCTTCGGTAGGTTCAAAGCAAAGTCTCCATGTTTTGGATAGAATTACCATCTACTGCTTATTTTTTTAATACCCTTTTATTACACTGGTGTGTGTTGAGTTTGTGCACGATTAACCAGCAAGTATGAGAAGGATTAAACGCACTACTGTATATTCCATTCATGCTCATTTCTCATTATTTAGAAGGATAAGCAGGATAAGACCAAGTGAGCATTTCTGGGTTTTGGGTTTTTTTGCAATCCCAGCCATTGACCTCTGAGAAACACAGCTAATGTCAAGAAATCTAGCAGCCACCTCATCTCACCAACTCATAAACAAGGACAAACGTCATATTTAACAGCATAAACCAGATGAGTGCATTCTTTCGACTGTTTAAACTCCCATTAAGTCACAAAAACTTTGAGAACCTCTGGCCTAAATTAAAGTCAGTGTGGTATGTTTTCATCAAGTTATCACCTAGAACCTCAGTTTGTTCCATTAGTTTGCATTTTTATTTTTGTTTTCAGTTCATTTTAGTTTCCTGAGTGAGTTTGCTCTTTTCAGTTTTGTTTTTATTAGTTTCAGTAGTATTTTGAATTTATTGTTATTATAATGTGGGTGGCTTGTGTCAGAGATCAGATGTTCAATAGAAATTTAACACTTTATGTCATGCGTCACGAAAAAACCTGGTGTTTGTTAGGTTAACGCATTTGGCCAGACTGACAAAAAATAAAGTGAAAGAAAATTGCCTGATTTTGTTTATTTCAGTCAATTTTCTAAGCTCACAATGTATTTCAGATGACTGAAGTATTTTGTTTACACCTAGTTTTAGTTTTTTGTTTAGTTTTGTTAACAGTTATAACCTTGGCGGTTATCGTGAGCTCCAAAACCACTGAACCAAACATCTGTTTATATTTAATTTTGTAGTTTATATGTTGCACACACACACACACACACACACACACACACACACACACACACACACACACAAACACAAACGTCTTCTTGTTGCTCTTTAGCGTTTGTGTTATCTCAGCTGTGTTCAAGACAAGGATCGTGTTTCAGTCCCGAGAGGGAAAAAAACCTAAAAAGTGCTCTTTGGATGACCCCCAAGTTTTAAGGGTAAAGTTAGGGGGTTAGCCGTCTGTCTAACATGTTGTTTCCTTCAGTTCTAATCCATTGTGTGCTAAAGTGATATGTTTATTGGTTTTAGATGGTACCCACAGTTCGTCTGACCCGTGGAATTCGTCCAATGGCATCAGTCAGCCCGGCTACGGGGGAATACTCGCAGGATCTTCATCTCACATGCCACAGTCAGGAAACTACAGCAGCCTGCACTCACACGACCGTTTGGTAAGCTTCACAGCTCGGCCGGCGGCACTTAGGCTTTATGAATAAGTGATAGATGATTGCTAGTAAGTTTCTGTTTTGCCCTCACGTTTACATGAACGATCCAGTGTGTATTGTTGAACACGCAGGGCAAATAAATTCTGTTGAAGCCCTGGTTTTTGCTCTGCTCTCCCATAGCGCATCTTCCTCAGTTGGAGGGATCTGTGTGTGTCTTAAGTTGTTGTCTGGTTATTATCAGTGAAGACACCGCTGACCCTCTTTGTGTCAGCGTTTGATCTTTTTTCGTCCGCCTGCCTGCTTCACTTGGCAGGGCATCACAGGGAGGCTGCAGATGCTGCCTGCCCTCTCTTTATCTCTGTCCCTCCCCCGCTACACGAACTTTTACTGCGTGACAGCCTGGAAGACGTCAAAGGGCATTTTTAATTTCAAGAATAAATAAATAAGCTCTTTCTTTCTTTCTGTCTCACACAAACACATTTATGATTGAAAATAACACTTTTCTCTCTTCCCGATTTTCCAGAATTACCCCGCACACTCAGTCTCTCCAGACATCAATGCCAGTCTTCCTCCCATGTCCAGCTTCCACAGAAGCAACACCAGCACTTCACCATTCGTCACTGCGGCACACACCCCGTCCGTCACCTCGGCCGATGGGATCATGGGTACGTTCTTGTGTTAACAGTTCAGCTACCTGCTCAGGTTGGCTAATTACTGACACCGCAGTGTAATCATAGCTGAATGTTCATTCTGTGAAGGCACTGAGTCATGCAGGGGGACAGCTGCTTTGTGCACTGTAACCGCTCCACATTTGTCTGAGTTTGCGATTACAAAGCTTCGCTCTGTGTTTTTGTAGCTGCTGCAAATCGGGGGACTGCCACTGGAAGCTCGCAGACTGGAGACGCACTGGGCAAGGCTTTAGCCTCGGTGAGTTACGCTGTTATGTCTATGATGGAAAACGTTGCCTATCAATACTAAGTATTTTCCGAGTAGCGTCAGTGTTGCTTAAGGCATTTTGGTCAAGTTCAAAGAAGTTTTTGCATTTCTAGTCAAGTGTGAAACTCATGTCTGACTTCTTTAAGCCCTCGAGCTCAAATGGTTCTGATTTTTCTGCAAATCAAAGTAAAAATACCCCCCCCCCCCTTTTTATTTATTTAAAGAAAAATTTTTTTAGTGTTTTGTCTCCAAAGAAGGTGACCTCCGTAATCATGCAGGGAATTAAATGCTATACTGACCGCTGATTAAAACAGCCCAGAGGACAAGTTTATAGTTGTTTTTTTGTCTTTTGTTTTTTTGGCCTAAGCCTGGATAATTGTGGGCTTAAACTAAGAGTATTCAAGAAAGGCAACTGTACATTAAAAAATACTCCTAAAGCCAATGGATTACACTTCAGGGACATCCTGTAATGGTTCAGTCCTTTAGGTTGTTTATAGTGTTATGTGTCCGAAGTGGACTCACAGATAAACGTCACTATTTGAATTGCATGATGAAAATGATGACGTACATGTGCATTTATGTAAACGTTTTTGTGACACAACAGACACTTTTTATCCTAAACCCTTCCCTTGTTTCCTCAGCAACAATATTTGCTGTTTCCATTTACGCACTGGATGTATTTTTGCTTTGGATTTCAAACCTATGATCCTCGATATTTCAGCTAAATTTTCAAATGGTGTTTAACATGTTGCACAAACATGAAAGCAGCGTTTTAATTTTACACACAGCACGAGCTGTTCGTGTAAGAGGAATATTTCTTAGGAGTGTGAATCCAAAATATGAGAATTTGGGCATGGTAATAACAAATTAAGTCCTTTATATTTGCAGACTCAATTCTATTAGCATGACAAAGCTGGAGTGAAATGGACACGGTTGGACTAGGGTGGGGGTGGGTGCATGGATCAGGGGTGCACAGGGGAGTTTATAACTGCTGTGGCTCAACTCCATGGGCCCCCCTTTGTAGAGCTTTTGTTCTCGGCCCTTTTAAATTGGCCGTGCTTATTGGCCCAATGCCGCCTGCGGGAGCGTAACTGATGATGAGGCGGAGCTTCATTTATTCCAGTAAAATGAGCCATGTTTCACTTTGAATGCAGCGTTATTAGCCAGTGAGTGAAAAGAATAGAAAGTCATATATTGTCGGGTCAGAAGTCACGGTTGTAAACAGCTGTCGAGAAACTAAGAAAAATTTGGAGATTTGTCTTGAGTTTTATTGGTTTCCAACGCAGAGATAACCGCGCTATTAATCCTCCTTAGTTTTTCACTGAATTGCATGTCTGGGAGTGAAAATGCTGAGCAGAGAGAAGCTCTCTGCTCTCTGAGTGTCGCGGGGCATAAATACTCATTCTTCCCTTCAGACAACGGCCGATCCTCCTCCACATTCAGCGCCACACACTTCAGTGAAGCCTCTATCCTGATACTCCAAGCTGATTGAAAAACTAAAGCCCTGAGATCAAGATTGAATAAGGAGATTATTAATAATGAGTGCATTCTATCATCCCCACAGAAGTTGAACGCTTTCCTTCAAGCTCAATTTGATCTTAACTTGGAGGAGAAATCTCTGTGGATCTGTTGTTTTTTCTCTGCTAATTAGTCAGGATCCACCGTAATACCCTGACTTCTCCGAGGCATGTTCCATTATGGCACAAATATCCTCTTATTAAAGAGGAAAAGGGAAAAAAATCAGGGACGTGTTTGTGCTTTAATCCAGCATTTGTTTAAACAAATGAAATCCCTGTGAAAGTTCTGAAGACATAATCTCCTCGTTCCCTTGTGATTGACACGTCATCCTAAAACTCAGTGACCTCAGCGTGACCTATCCGAGGATGGCACGACGAAAACTGCCAGTATTGCAGCAATGAAACCAAAGTAATTCAATTGTAACTATTTGTCCTCTTTAAATAGACTATGAGGTTTAAAAAGAAGCAAGAAAAAACAACATTTGAATATGACGGGGTTTTGATATATGGCTCAGAGTATAATCTCTGGCTACAGCCTGAATTGTGCCCCTTGAGATTTCCTGTTGTTGGCTTAACGGGGTTTCCAGGTTGGGCGTCTGCACACTGGAAAAACTGGACACCTATAAGCAGAGAGTCTGTATACGAGTGAAAATAAAGTGTGCTCCTTTAAAACAGCCTCGTTTCCTAAAAAGGTTAAAAAACAAATGAAATTTGAGAGTGCGTTTAAACGATTAATTTAATTGAAAATAGTGCAACGACCTCATTGAAACATTTGAAACAGAAAGTTGGTGGCTTTCGGACTTTGGCTAATTTTCCATTTGATGTTAGGAACTTGATTTGGAAAGCCGGAAAAGCATGTTTACTTTACTGTTTTTATAGAAGGGTGGTGTACATTGGTAAACACGCTCCTGCTTCAAATTCATCTTATTTTTATTTTTTATTTTTTTTATCTATCCTGTCTCTCCTGATGTCTTCCTCTCTGCCTCTGCAGATTTACTCACCTGACCACACTAGCAGTAGTTTTCCATCCAATCCGTCGACACCTGTGGGTTCTCCTTCACCTCTAACAGCCACAGCAGGTGCAGCCTCAGCAGGTACAGTGGTGACTGCTGCTGGCACCCCGTCTGGAAGGCCAGGTAGGTCACCAGCCTGTGGATTTTAATCTCATAAACACTGTCTGCACACATATACTAGATACCAGCAGAAACTGCTTCATAAAGGCTTTTTTTCCCCAGGTAAAGTGCCGGTAACTCACTCAATGGCTATTTCTTTCCTAGAATAGCCAAGCTAATTATCAGGCTTTCATGAATATGTGCCCTATTTTAACTGTGGAAGTGCAATAACCCACACAAAAAGGCAGGTCTTTAGGCTGCCTCCAGCTGTGCTTTCTGATTCATGTAGTATAAAAAGGCTGGCTGAAACTGAAGTGGGAGGCAAATGAAAGAGTTTGATTAATAAACCGAGTCTTGTTCACTCAGTGTTGTCATCCCTCCTAAACAGCTGTGCTAACGACAGGTAGGCTTCTCCAGGAAAGTGTGTTATTGTGTGGACGCTGGAGTTATTGTCACAGCTAATTTTTCTGCTTTATCTCACATGATTAGCCAAAACATCATACAGTAACTGTGACCGTGTCTGCACCGTCATGCATCTTAGGAATAAAAGAGGAAGTAATGAATTTGAAGGTCTGTATTTTATGTAATAGTCACAGCTCTGCTTGTACTGGTCAGTGAATATAGGGCCCTGTGACTTCAATTAATTACTTTTACTCTGTGCTGCATTAGTCGGATTAATTAAAGCCTAAGTAGAGTGAATTGTGAAGAGTTTCCCTAAAACTTAATTTAATACCCCCTTTTAGCTTTAGAGCATCTCTAATCATTTGGTCGTCATTCTCCGTGCTTTATCTGAGTCGGGGCAGTTAATGCCATTTCTACATGAATCCATCCTAAAAGAAAGCTTAGTTTAGTCTGGGATAAGGCTGAACATCCACTGAATTGACAGCCACGATGAGTATTTAAAACTGAAGAAACGCGAGAATTAATTTTCAAGCGAAAATGTTCCAAGGAAGTTTAATCTCAAGCAAATAGAAGAGATGCCTCATGCCAGATTTATCTGCTGGCTGTGCTCTTTCTGCGGTCCACGAGCACAAAAGTGACACCATTTATACTGAAAGCATGAAATCTGTGTTACAAGTTTATTCTTCACCTGCATCTGCGTCAGGGGCTTTATTTTTGTGGCTGAGGCAGCCGCTCCGCATTGACTCCCGGTGACATCACAGAGAAGTTTTGGCTCTCAGCTTTTTAGGAGGCACTTTGCTCGAGCTCGGGAGTTTAAATGCAGCCAAGAAGTACCTTCAGAATTACGTGTAGTTTATTTTTTCTGCTGTCATTTCCTTTAAGTGATAGAAATTTATGGACAAACTGTGGAATGACTGCGGCTCTTGGGGCGGCGAAGGGTTTTAAGTTATTGAAAAGCTTTTCATATTTGCAGAACTGCATTTATGGCTTATAATAGCAGCTCATACTATTCATTCTACTTTTAGTAAAACAGTTTCAGGAGTAGATTTATTGTTATATAATCCTGCTTTCCCAGACAAGTGTTTTTGTAGTTAGATTTTTTTTTTGGGGGGGGGGGGGATGGGACGACCAGTTTCCCTCTGAATTGTAATTATTTTCTGCAACAAATTCAGAGAACAAAAGCAGGAAAGTAGTAAGGAAATCAGGGCGGCCCCATCAAGGGGATCCTGTTTGTAGTACACAGTACTTTTAAGTACCGGAAAAGAGATGTAGACGAAGAAAATGGTCCGTCAGATATGTTGACAGAGGCGGGAGACCAATGGAAAGAGAATGAGAGGGGGGGACAGTAAGGGAAAGCCCAGTGTGTTGTTTTAACGGGCAGTTGTGTCATGTGTGGTAATGGAGTGGCGACAGCTGTCTCTACGTATGCCCCCCTCTTCCTCAGCTGTTTCCCTGCCCCATGGACAGCTGTTCCCCCAGCACACACACGCATACACACACGCAGACCAGGCGGCAAAATGCCCCATTTATTCACCAGTGAGTGAAGGAAGGTGGCTGTGACTCAGCTGATCAGAGTGGCGGTGATGTGTCTGTTGACCTATTTCCAGTACAGCGCGCTGCACCTGAAAACTGCAACAATATGACAAGCTGAAAAAACAGTTCAGTGTTTTATTGAATGAAGAAAATCCATATTATATAGATATATATCTATATAATATATAAAGCACTGCTGCCAAATATGTCATGTGGAATTATGGGGAAAAGATATAGTTTTACTAATTATTCGTCCTTAATGTGCCTCCAGGCTTAGAAAAAGAACGATACTCTGAAAGTAGCCCAAAATTTGGCTAGTTGTTGATGTAAGTTTCCAAATCCATTCATCATTGGGACTGCACCAATATACAGCACATTACTCAAGGCTGGTTTGTTCAATTAGCCTTCTCTGGTGCACTTGGGGACCAGAGCTTCAGTCTAATTTTTCATAGCCGCCAGCCAGCAGAGGCTTATGTGAAGTTCCTGTCTCACTCACCTGGGAGAAAGCTGAGGCAGAACAGAGACTTTTTCATTTCCTCCTCCAAAGTCACTTTTAATAGTCTGTTAATTAAAGTCGGCTTTTCCAAGGCTGTGTGTGAGTGTGTGTGCAGAAACATGAAAACTCATAAGACCACAGAAGAGTTAGACATTTCATTGGGATGATTTAATGGAAGTTCCCTGAGCGTGAAAGGTGTGATTTTTCTAGTGTTTGTCAAAAATATACATCAGCTGCATTTTTACCACTTTTAACCCCTTAAAGCCAAGTGTGTCATATCTACTGCAAGAGGTTTTGAGGCTTCTGCATCATCAGTGTGATTGTTTTTTTCCCCCCCTGAAAAATCTGAAAAAATACATTTTTAAGAAATAATTGCAAGACTGTCAAATGTAGCAAATATGATACATATTAAAACTCACACATGCAAATTAATATACATAAACACAATGTTCTAGAAATTATTTCATGGTTTAGGCTTTAAAGGATTTAATAGCTAAGTTATTTGTGTACTTGTTCTGACAACATCGGTCTGATTTTGTAAAACTGAGAAATAAAAACGCTGCGTCACCCCGCTCAGCACGCTATAGCTTTGAAATGATGTAAATTAAGCTTTAAATTAAGAATAAAAAACCATCAGCGTTCCTCAGGCTCCTCTGCCTTTATCATGGGGTTTTCATTGCTGGTTATTTTAGCAAAATGAATTTCTAGAATCATGCGAAATGACTGATAGCAGAAACAAAGTCTCCTTGTGTGGATCACGCAGCAGTGCGCACCATTTACAAGGATGTGGGCTGGGTTTAGCATCCTAACACTATAATAGACACCAGAAGAGCTTGGAAAGACTACGGACACCCTATCCTACTCTGTAAATAACCTGGAAAGGTTCATTACTGTCAAAGTCCATTAAGGTTATTTGATTGCAGTATAATGCATTGCCTCTTGTTGCACATGGCTGGCACTACTTGGATAATTGCGACTCCAAAAAGGAAAGAAAGAAATGTTGTACTGTAGCTGGAAATGTGATGAGCAGATGTGGATTCCTCTTCTTTAATTTACACCAGATCAAATCAGCTTGATTTGCTTTCCTGTACTGGCCGGTAGATTAAATTTTTGGCTCAGATAAACATGCAAAAACTCACTGTGCCAAAGGTAAATTATAATCTCTCTCCCAGTGCAGAGTGTCTTAGATATCTCTGTATTTAGATCATATGATTAAAATGCACTGGTCTTTATTTAGAGCAGAATTAGATTTGACTTTATGGGACACATTAGTGGAATATTCAGGCTCATATATTTACAGATGTAAATTATATAAAGATGATTGACTTTAGTGCTACCACATCACCAGTCAAAGATGCTTTAAACTGACTAAAAGTTAAAGAAAAAGAAAGCCCATGTAATTATTTCTTTCACCAAAAGCCTGCATGAAGATCAGGTACTAAAACAGTCAGCAACGGTGCACTTTTGATTACTGGTTCCTGATGTTTTTGCACGTTTCTGGAATAAAATTAAAACATGCGTGAAAACTAGCCCTGAGCGTGATATTTTTCACTGCTCACATTGTTCTCATAGCCATGGTTATTAATGTGCAGATGCAGCGTTCATTTCAGGGTGGAAGTGGGTGTTAGTCAAACCCTGCGCTGGCTCATGTGTCAGGATGCAGTCCAGCCATCAGGAAGTGATGCAGTTAAGCTCTGAAAGATAAAAATACCTCTCATAGAACAACAAGAGACCAGAAAATCAGGATGTCAGTGTGTTATGACTGCATGTTATTGTGTTTGTCAGTGAATGATTTTTTTGTGTCGGCGTACCAGGATGAGGCTTTTGGCCAAAACTGAATCAGATAATTGTTAACACTGACCTTCACTTTGTCTCTCCTCAGGTACCAACCAGTGGCCCCGTGTTGGTGGGCAGACCCCCTCCTCCCCAAATTATGAGAACTCCCTTCACTCACTGGTAAGCTCTCTGCCCGCCTCCATCATTCAGTGAGAGGAGGATATGATGGATGCTCGCTTTAGATAAGCTGCCCATGAAGGACTGAGCTAGCATTACAGTGAGATTCCTGTCTGACAAATGTTTTGCTGAGGAAGGTGGGGGTAGAGGGATAACCAAACTGAACAATACCTGTCCCTTGGGGCATGCCATCTGTCCTCCACTCTGTGGGCCGGGTCTGGGATGACAGTTGGGGGATGGGTTTAGTTATGGGGGCTGGTGTGGGGGTGGCAGCTGTTTGCTGAACCTCTTCTCCAGAATTCCTTCGCTGCCGTACGACCAGAGCTGAAGATCGGATTTCATGCAGCCCTGCTACCTGATGCACATGTCATGTGTTTACATACTCTACTGGGAGTTTATTCAAGGGATAAACGGACTTAAATAAACTTACTATACAGATCCACAGACATATTTATATGATAAATAAAGACAGTATAATGTTAGGCAATAACCCAGCTGATCCAAGCAATGGGTGAACAAGTGAATTCATAAAACATATGGATCATAAGTGTTAACAAAATGCATTTATGTTTCATGTGTATGAAAGAAAGAAAATATTGACCGATATTGAATTTTCTTATCACCAGCAATTCAAATTGTATTGGTGTCGAAGTTTAACATGATTATATGTTTCTATGACCTCACAGAGAAGACCCGCAGAAGTAAAGGATGGAGCTTTTAGCCATGCTGTGATCTTAGAGGGACATAGATTCATCCTGACATTGTCTGCAAAGCTCCTTCATAATCCGTATTCACACGTAACAATGAAAAGACATCCAGGTTTAATATAAAGGATCCTATATCTACCTGGTAGAGATGTTCCTTAAGAATGTCTTGAACCCATACCCGGTTGTTTCTGAATCATTTAGGCTTCTAAGAGGTAAAAAAACATCAATTGCAGTTTTTTATTGAATGATGAATGAAAAATGCAGCTGGCAGCCACTGAAGGAAATTCTCATTTATTCTCAGCAACGTTCAAGAGTGTGCTGAAATAAAATCGTAGATCACGGTCCTCTGGTAGTTACGACAGAACTACTTGGAACATTGGAAAGTCCCAGAGAGCTCTTGGAAATGGTGATGAAGCTCTTTGAGGATTAGATTACAGTCAAAATGACTAATTTTGTTACTGGACTGGGCTGTGAACAGTAGTTATATTCGTTTAAGACGAATTTTTTTTAAAAACGGCAGACTTTGGTAATCAACAAAACACGCACAGCTGGATGAAATGAACATAAGAAGGCAAAGCAATAAGGCACAAAAGACAACAACATTATTTATCCCAGCACATAAAGTCAGTGTAAAGTTTTAAACTTGTGGCGATGCAGAAAATGTGACAAGTGCTGTAGTAGGGGTCTGTAAATACGCAAACAGCGAACCATTTTTATCTTTACAAAGTGAGTCGTCAGCAGCTGTGTGCTTCTTTCTAAATCCTGCCTCTTTCTCTCTATGTGCTATCACAAAACAAAAAAAAGTCTTTACCCACAGCGTGTTTGTAGTATTTATAGATTCTGATCTTTTTTTCTTAATTCTCTCTTATTCTTATTTGACTTTGCCAGAAAAACAGAGTTCATCAGCAGTTACATGAGCATCTCCAGGATGCCATGTCTTTCTTAAAGGATGTCTGCGAGGTACTCTTCAGATAGACTCTTTTTTTTTTACCCATTGCGTGTTCCATACATCGTTTTGTTTTCTTGCACAAGTTCGACTACATTCTTCACAGTGAAATGCACTTTCATTTATTACTACTTCTGTCGCCTTATTCTCATGTTATGTTGTTGTCGTTTTTTTTGTTTTAGTTTTTTTCTGCAGCCATGCCAGCTTGTAGTAATCAGCTTAGGTTCAGATGACAATGAAATTAAGTGGCTGCAGTGCCTCTGTTCATTTGAAAAACAAATGAGAACATATCCTGACTTCTACAACTCAAGCTGAAATGGCTCATTTGATCTTGCATTTGAATTGCCTTCTTTATCTTGTGTTGTTTTTTTTTTCTCACCATACAATCAGCATTTTCAATTTTTGTCCTAATGTGCTTATACTAAGCTGCTCTGTCCTTCTTTTCCTCCCTTCTTTCTCTCCCTAACCCTTCATTTCTCAATCCCTTTGGTCCTCCCAGTCTCGAATGGAGGATCGCCTGGACAGATTGGATGATGCAATCCTTGTTCTGAGGAACCACGCAGTGGGCTCCACCGCCAGTCTGCCCAGCGACATACACAGTCTGCTGGGACAGGCACAAAATGGGCCAATAACAGCCATTGGACCAAATTTTCCTGCCTCTGCATTGGTTCCAAGTCGGACTGCAGCGATGGTACGATAACTTCATATAAGTATTTATTTATTACTATACGGTATTTTTCAAACTACACCACATAAAACACCTTGGCCACCTGGTCAAAAAAAGGAGAGCTTTGAGACATTTTCCGCAGACGAACAGTTGAATTTATACCGGCATATTTTCCATAAGTGTAATGGCTGGCCGTAGGATCACCCTCCTCTTGAGAGCGGCTGTATACACAAGTTTGAGAGAGAAATGAAGAAAACAGGCACAAAGAAGTAAAGTTGGCGTAGGACGTGTTTGTACGTTGCAATCCTTCTAGAGTTAAACTCGAAGCCCCTTGAGAACTGGGGAAATGCCGGTCTCGGTGTAAATCATGACGTGTTCGCCCATCCTCCGTCTGAGGTATTTGATTGTACAGAGCCAGGAGATTTGAACACATCTGCAGTGGAAATTAAAATGGGATGACTCGTCCAACTGTTATCTGGAGGTGTTTGGAAAAAGTTTGACACAAACACAAACTTAAAAAGAAAAAGATCAAATTAATTTGAACGTGGGAAGAAGTTTAGATTACTTTTTTCTCTGAGATAAATGATGGAAGGAAAAGTTAGACAGTGATGAGATTTTGTATCTAATAAGCCAGTGATTAGCTGTAAATGTGGTGTTGCCTTTAAATTCAGACCTAAAATTAATATTCTTGTTTAGATTACTGTTATACAGAAAGGCCAAAAGGCTCCTTTTGTGTGTAAATTGATTATTAATTAATTAGTTTAATTTTTTTTCTATAAAACAAGCACGTATTGTGAGTAAAGTGTTTTGGTAAGGTTGTACTTTGATGCAGCATGAAGAAAGAATGAAAAGATGCATTTCTGAGTGCAGACCGACATTTTAGTGCTCAGTCTGCACTTTTTGTTTTCGTGTCTTGATCATTGCAGTGGAGCTGTCGTGCAGAAATTCATTTATTTTCAAAGCAGTTTCGTTTTTTTCTTTGTTTTAAGGTGGTATTTTTCCTGTCGATGGTTGTTTTCACTCGTACGCGGAGGCTACTGGGTAGCTCGCTTTGTCCCTTAACAAGAATTTTACTGTGGTTGTCAGAAGAGCTCAGTTTGATGTATTTGTTACAGAGAGCTGGGTTGTGGCAGTGATGTTGACCGACTGCGACTGTGAGATAGAACATACTGTGTCTGCACTAACACAGCACTTCCTGTGTGGGAAGAGGTCCCTTCAGACAGGGCTCAACAGCCTCGACACGGCACAGCCACAGGCTTTTTACTCTGGCTGTCACCCCGCCCTCTACCCCCTTCCACCCCTTTTCATCACTTCTTTTTAACAACCCAGGAAATCTGAATCGTTGGAAACGTGTGTCTGAACCCGCAGCCTCCACCCAAATAGAGGTCCTCAGCTGTATGGTAATCAGGCCCAGCCATGAAAATGGCAGCGTTCTTTTCTTGCCAGAGCCCCAGCCTCACTCCTCCTCCTCCAGACAAAGAGTTGTTTGGACACCTGTTGAGAGCACAGCAAAGATTAGCGTAGCGCTGGGGAAGGGGAGGATCTCGGAGCGGTGGGGTTAACAGAGGCCAACAGTGACTGGGGATCACATTCCAGAGGAAAAGAGGGAGATGCTCTCCACCCTTAGTGATGATTTCTCCGCCTTTCCTCAGTCCTTGAAAAAGGAAATCAAATGGCTCTAGAGCATGTGGTAAAGGAGGGGCTTTGTGGCACAACGTGGTGGGAGTTGACCATTTCTATGTTATGCATGTGAACAAAATAACAAGGAGATAGTCAGACATTGGAGTGGGTTTAGCTTGACTTCTTTTGAAACTGAACACAGAAGGATTATTCTTCTCGTAGACATGAGGAACAGACGGGTCCTCAGTTGTGGTTACAGAGCGGGGAGTCTGAGAATGTCGCTGCAGCGAGCAGTAACACAAAATGCAACAGTGACAGAGACAAATGAGGAGGCTATATATGGACCTTTAAGTATGGCTAAATATTGTGGCACAGGTGTTTTTTTTTTATTTGTGTTTATTTTCTATTTCCTACCCTTGATTATGCATTATAACGCTGCTGTGGAGCAAATCTCCAAAGTACCCACAGGTGTTGGTAATGACTGACTTGAATGGTGATTAAACCCAGAACTTGTCCCATGCTGTGACTACAGGTTTTAATAAACACTGCTACAGACAGCATCTAATCTAATGTATATATACATATATAAAAGCATCTTTTTTTATGATCCAACCAGTGTAGAGTGCTCACCAAAATGTGCAAATCAGTATAACTAAGGTTGCTCTTTTTCTTTAAAACTGTGGGATTTTCCATTTTTATGAACAGTCTCCAGTGAGTGTGTGGCTGCTTCCTTTCTTCACGTGTCCTTCCTGTCTGTGTTGCAGCAGGGCGGCGACGATGCTGCCAGCCTGAACAACAGCCACGGAGGCCTGCCCAGCGCCGGCTCGACATCCAGCACAGAACTCAATCACCAAGTGGAAACGTTCAGAGGTCAGCTCCACCACGGCGTCCCACTCTACGATATCCACACGATTCGGTTTACGTATGATGTCTTACCTCCACATTTCTGTTACTAATAACAGGTCTTACTTCAGGCCTTCCAGCAACCCTGGAGCTGAAGGTGGAGAAACAGGACAAGGATGAGATGCTCGACAGCATCTCCACCGATAACAAGTCAGATGACGAGAGTGACAGAAGAGATATGAAGACACCCAGAGCAGGCCCACGCACAAGGTAAGAGGACCTTTCAATACGAAAACGTGTGAAACATTCTTCAGAAGTGAAAATAAGCTCTATGGCATGCTTTGAGATGGTAGAAACATGGGATAAGGCTGGAAAGGTTGTCTTTCATATGCGACAGGTAGTGGAAAATCTGATACATATCGTATTAACCTTTACTGTCATTATTTGATTTAAAATAGGCATGTCAACAAATGGGAACAAGAGCTGGGTAAAGAAATTCCAGAGGAGATGTGGAGAATACTGGATTCGGTGCTTTTTAACACCCCAAATTACAAGCAAACAGATAAATGTGAAACAGCCCTGCTGGAGATTATGGAACCAAACCATACTCACATGTTTTGGACATTCGGAAAAATAAAACCCCTTTTGGATAGTATTCATTCAGAGCTTGCTGAAATGTTTGGCTATACAATCCCATGATCATTTCAGATCCTATACTTGGATCACCTTAAAGGAAACATGCATCCAAAGACCAATACCTGTTTAACATTGACCTAGCACTGGCTAACGATCAAAACACTAAGCTACAGACAATGGGTGATTGTTGTTGTTGTGATGGTAAACTCAAATACAGACTGAAAGTGAAAGAATATTTCTAAAAATCTGGGACAAACGGTTGTTATACAAAGTGAAGAAAAGTCAAAAGTAACAGAAATTATTAAAAGAGGCAGTTTTGCACCGACACACTAACACTGGCACTGTTCAGATGTTCATGTGCTTGTTTTATGTTTCCATGTGGCTACTTTTCAGTTTTATTTTGCGTTAGCTTAGCCACCATGTGTAGTCATTTTATATGTGTAAAGGAAGCAAATAAAATTCGGTTTTTTATCAGTTTGGTTCCTATGAATGGCACATTCACTTTCACATTAGACAAGTGAATACACTTCATTCATTTCCTCAGAAAGCCTGCAACCAAGTTAAAGCCGGGTGTCTGAAAACGGCCGGGACACAAACAAACAGAGACCTCCCCTAAGGGTGGGAGGGATAACCAGTCCTGTCAGGCAAATCTTTTGTCTCATTAATACATGCTTAAGAAACAACAGATTTCACTTGATGCTGAGAAGGCGGAGCTTCTCAGCATCAAGTGAAATCGTTGTGGTAAAAACTCATGGATGTTAAATGAATTAAATTTTCTTCCTTCATGTTTATAGTTCATGGTTTAATCACGGTCATGTCAGATTAATGGTTTGAAGACCATCCTATCATTGGTGCAGATGACTGAATGGTGGCTGCGGGTTGATTTCTTCTCTCTGCTGCAGCATCACCGAAGACGAGGATCTGAATCCCGAGCAGAAGGCTGAACGGGAGCGCGAGAGGAGGATGGCTAACAACGCTCGCGAACGCCTGAGGGTGCGAGACATCAACGAGGCTTTCAAAGAGCTGGGTCGCATGTGCCAGCTGCACCTGAAAAGCGAGAAGCCCCAGACTAAACTGCTCATCCTCCATCAGGCTGTGGCTGTCATACTTAGCTTGGAGCAGCAAGTCAGAGGTCAGTGTTGCAGCGCTGCTGCGGCAATTAACTGAAATGCTACATCACATCAAATCACTGCTGACTCTTAAAAACAACGTGTGTTTTGATGCAGCGTTCCTGCAGGTGGTAATTTAATTTCACTGTCACATCCAGAGCAGATACATGTGGAGTTAGAAAGGAAAAAATAGGGAATGGAGCTGCCAGAGTATCACAGACAGTAAAGAAAATGCAGGGCGTTTATTCAGCTCAGATGTTTCCCTGCAGTGCTGCATTTAGAGGTACTAAAATGAGTAATGATGAAAGATTTGAGGCGAAAGACAAACAAAGTAACGCCCTTTTATAACACCCTTAAAGCTTCGGTCTCTCTCTAAAATTTTATCTTAATTTTATTTTAAAAAAAGCTTTGACATGTGTTTAATTAAAGTGTAATCTGTGTTTATGTGAACTCACAGAGAGAAATCTGAACCCCAAAGCAGCCTGCCTTAAGAGAAGGGAGGAAGAAAAAGTGTCTGGGGGCTCCAGTGATGCCCAACCAGCCCACACAGGAGTCCATCCAGGCCTGACCGACACATCCAACCCCATGGGCCACCTCTGAGACAGGTACTCTCACCTCTAATTGAGCGACACACACTGCTATGATGGTTTTCTCTAATAACTGAATAATCGGTCATCTCATGACAGCATATTTTCTTTTTCTTTCTGCACTTTGATACCATGATAATTGCGGTCATCCTGTGTGTTTTCCTGGTTTAACTGATGTTTAGTTGATTACACAGGTCAGCATGATTGAATCATATTGACGCAGCATGTTTAAACCCAGCTAAAGTCCACAATCTTCATTTTTTACTTATGTTTCCTAAAATAAAATTTTTAACTTGAAGATGTCAAACTGTAAAATTCTTTCAATCGTTGTTATTTAAAAAGATGCAGATAGATGGAATATTCACTAAATTATTTAAATTTTAATAAAATCTCTGCTAAGGTTACCAGAAACCATCAATCAGTCACATTTCATGAGAGTTAAAGTTGCCAGCCATCACTAAGAGGACAAATTTTGCTGGCTGACTGGTCGCGCTTCCAGCCACGTGCGTGGCTGTGCTGAGCGGGGTTTCCCCCTCATGGCTGAGAGCTTTGTTAAACAAGGATTTGGGGTGAAATTGTGCACGGCTTATTTGCCGTTTATGCATCAGAATCTGTTCAATAAACTGCACTTTCCAGACATACTTTTAGAGACAGTGAAGATAACAAACACTGGAAATATTGGAAAGTCTGGTTGTTCTTGGCCGGCATCTTTGGCTGGTTTTTCCTGTGCTGCGTCACTTTTTAGTAAGGCTCTAAATCTATGTTACCTCATTTAAAGTAAGCCAGTGCATTTTCTTCTCATTTTTGGCTATTCGATCAACAAAACTGTATTTTGTATTTGAATAAATTAAACCCCTTTTTTATCCCTTATTTTTATTTGGAGGAAAAATCCTTTAATTTAAATGTTATAATTGTCCTTTATTGATTTATGTCTGATTTATGTCAGACTTTTTAAAAAATAAATATGTAAAACAGCAGGACTTTAATCACCAGCTCTAGTGCTGAAGCTAAAATTTGGACGGCCTACGCTCAGCTCCTTTGATGCGCACCTCTGATCAGTGCTCCTTCTTTGCTTCCTCTCCTCCAGATCAGAGCGATGCAGATCATTTCTGTCCCGTCTGAGTCGGTGACCTTGCTTCCCAGTGACAGACAGGACTCGCAGTTTGTGACACCAATTGGAGGAGACAGACCACTTGAAGCAAAACGACGAGTCTAACACAGTCCACTCCTAAGATTGAAGTAGAGCCAAGCGTCCAGCTCCCTGTGACCAGATTCCATTTGCAAATTTCTCCCCCACAAGAAAAAAATCTTCAACACATATCACTGTCTGCAAGAAGTGTGTTGCTTCTGAACAATCAGAGACTTCGCAATCTCCTCCAACCGTATGTGGAAATTGCCTTGTGCCTAAACTAAATTGACGAATGCATTGTAACAGCAATTGTTTTTATTTGTCTGTTTCTTTGTTTTTTTTCCTATTTATTATGTTATTGAGCTATAAAGTGTATGTCTAAAGGGAAAGTTAGGTCAATACAAAGAGAAGCATGCGGCTTTTCAGTCGATCTATAGTTTGCCAGTGTCGCCATCAACCCTGAGCACTCCACCCCGGGAAAATCTTTGAGTCTGAGATTGGGGGAAAAATGTTAGAGATTAATTTATTGGCCAGTTTAGACTGATATTTATACCCAACTGAAAATCATCACGAGCTGAAAAACAAAAGCACCCGTTTTTTAAATATAAATTTTAAAAAAAATGATATATTATTTATATTTTTGTTTTCCTCGTTCTGCCACTGGCCACACGTGAAACCAAAACTACCTATGTTTGTTTCTGAGCAGTTTAGATCTGTCTCTGTGCTACTGACCGGCAGGTAACAGGTCCAGCTACGATAGCGTCAACAGCACGGGAGGTGACGCACAAACGGCAAACTGTAGCTTCACTGAAGGCTCAGATTTAATTGTTTTTTTTTGTTTGTTTTTTCCCAGTAGTGAGCAGTGAAAATACAGAGGGCAAACTTTTTGCAAACCTTAGCATTCCCTGCGTATTTTAGTGTCTTAACTAAAGGAAGAGGCAACTCCAGCGCCCTCGCTTCCCTTTGCCATATAGTGTTAAACGTAAGCAGTGGCGTATGTTTGCAGATTCTTCCTCCGGACGTCAGCACAGAAGTGTTGGCTGTGTTGGCACAGAAGTGGCTTTTTTTCTTTTGAAAATGTGTTATTATTTTCTTGTTTCTGCCACCAGCTAATCAGAGATCTCCTAATGAAGACGTTCAAAAAAAACAAAAGTAGAAAAACACGCAAAAAAACCCCAAACAACACAAAACGACGACCACAGTTTCTCCTGGCCTGATCAAACATATCAATTTTCTTTCTGTTAATATCTCAAGACATTAAATTCTAATAAGCGCAGTTACTCCTGACTAAAATTTAGTTATGCTTATTTGTTGTAACAAGTCCTTTCTGTCCAGCATTATAATTTCCGGTTTTTAGCTAGCAGAGAAAATCTGTAAGTTATTTTCAGTGATGTTTTGATGGAAGCCATGCTATTCTCAGTATGGCAAAGCAGACTGAACATTTCATGGATTATTCTGAGTATCATTGAACTGTAGCATGATCATGATAATGAGGATGATGATGATGAACAAAAGCAGGATTTTTCTTTTTTATGTTCCAAGACATCGGTCATGGCTTTATTTCTTTTTCCCTATCCGTGTGCATGCGTTACGTTTTCCTTTTTTTGAGTCTTTTCGGTCTTAAGACTTGCTTTATATTCCATTTATTTCTTTGTATATTGCGTTCTATCATTATTTACACCTTAAACAAGGCTGCCGCATTCAGAACGAGTATTCTGTACGATAAAGGGACTTTGATTAGAATAAAGGATGATGAGTTTACAATTTAACAACCTCATTTTAGTGAAGAAGAATCCAAAAAGAGAGAGACCTGGTCGGTTGTGGTGTGTTCTCTGACTGAATGAGGCCTTGTTCATCATTTCAGTATTCATGATCCTGTATTCATGTCGGCAGACTTTGAGGGTATAATGTGTGTCACTTCCGGCTCGCTTCCCTTCATTTGTTTTCTTTCTTTCTTTTAAACTTCCCGTTCTTCCTGTATTTCTTTGCTCCTCTGTTTGCCAAGTTAAACTTTGCTGTATCCCCAGATGCTTTCCCTTGTATAATATATGAAAAAAAAAAAAGAAAATCAAAAGAAAAAAAAACATTTGGCTTATTTTTCACTGTAGTTAGTCTTTTATACAATAATACTGTAAGAATATTTCTTGAATTCTAAATATTACTCTTTCTAGATTTTTGAAAGCAAAAGTTTTGAGTAAAAAGTTTCTTACTTTATTTTACTATATTAGATAGTAAAATGTACGGTTATTTACCATAACCTGTCCATTATCACAAAAAAGTTACATATGGCATCTCAAGAACACGGCTGAACTGCTGCTCGTAGTTTAGTACGTCAAAAAGGCTCCGTATGAGCTCCAGATTCCTAAAAGCGCGACCTCCATCGTACTCCTCAGTCTCCGTTGTTGATTGATTGAAAAAAAAAAAAGGAAAAAAAAAAAAGATTTGTTCTTGTGTCAAATAAAAGGTGTTGTTGATGCACATTGAAAAACTGCGGCAACGAGAATTTGAATTTTCTGTCATTTTCAAACAGAAAAACACGATGTATATAACATTTATGTTGCAATAAATGTGCCATCTTTTTTTAAACTCGATCGTATGTGCATTTATTTCGCTCATCTTCCTCTCCATATTTACATTTTTCCACCTTTCCATAACCTTTGTTGTGTTTTAACGCACAGGAAGGAAGAGCTCTGAAACAATGGGATTCATTTAGACTTCCTTATCGTTTTTGTTATTTTGTTTTTGAGACATTTCTACAGTGGATTTAGGCCAAATGAGTGTTTTATAGTATGTAACTCTTTTTTGAAAGTAATACCAGTGGACCATTGTAGTCTGTATGAAAAGTACTATGAATATATGTTTCTATTTTTAATAAAGTGTGATAGCAGCGTACTGTATATGTGCTGTGCTCCTACTTTTTCTTTTTTGCAAGTTCATTTATGCAGTATAGAGACAGATCCTCGTGCCTTAACCTCCTAAGACCTGAACTCTTCCATGGCATGCATTTTTAATTTCTCTTTGATATTTGGGCATATTGGGACCTCATGAATGTAAAAACAAAGAATTGCCAGATTAATTTTTTGACCTGATTTGTGTTTCTGACAAAAATGAGATCCACATATGAGGACATTTGTTTTAAATTTTGATAGAACAGTGGCAGGATAATGTCCTCGTAAGTGGATATCAGGCTCTTGTAGAGACAAATTTGTGTTTTTAGGTCCAGACAACCCAAAATGTGATGTCCACATATGTGGACGCCAGGTCCTAGGAGGTTAAATAATATTTGAATAAATTGTCTTATATTTTGACACAAAACAAAATGACCCACCCAGCACTGAAATTGAACTTCCACAGTCATGTTGAAAAGCACAAACCTAAACAGTTTTTTAATAAATGGCTTTGGTGGAAGTGTCTCTCTCTGTAACCTGCCGTACTCAATCTGCTACTTGTGCTGTGACTGAAGTTAATGAATCCCAAAAGCGTTGTGAAAATACTGCTCTGAACCTGGAAGATTGTTGCTGTGCTGTAAATCTCAGAGCCTGTACATCTGCGCAGAATTATCTCCGTGCAGATGTAAGCATGGAGACCGCTCATTGCGTCCTGAGAGGTCTGATCTCGAGTCATTCGTCATACTGAGGTGACAAAAGTGCTGACTGCCGTTCTGTCTGCGGTGAGCTCAGTGATGCGCGGTGGCCTTCCAGCGTTCCTCGCAGGGATAAACGGAGCGTGTGACTGTGCTGAGCTCTGGTGGTGGTGGTCGTGGGTGTGCATGTTTTCTGTAGGAGTGGGACCACCATGTCTGAAGGCTGACTTCCTGTCATGGCTGCTGGCTGAGCCAGCTGACAGAAAGTCCTTGGCTCACATCCTTGAATCTCAACCAAAGAGCCTGCTGCTCCTCCTGCTCTAACAGTAAGATCATCCGCCTCTCTGCCACTTTCAGGATGCACGCTGCACTGAACAGGCCTCTTGTCTTCTGTTTCACTTTCTAATCTCAGCTCTTTAAGATTCAAGGCTTTTTGACCATTTCAACATAGTGAGGAGAACAGGATATGATATTCAGACATTTCACAGAAACACAAAGCAAGTGCTTATCTGTCAATAATGGAAGTTTTAGGCATAAAGTGTGGAAAACAAATACGACAGCACAAAAGTAATTTCAAAGATTACTTTTACATGTACTCAAAACAACAATGTACTGCTCCTCCTGCCCACACCAGCTGCACAGAGATCCATTTTTGAAGCAGTTTAGAGTGATGGATAAAATACCTAGTCCTTGTTTTATATTAAGAAGGCCACAAAAAAGCTCCAGGGTTCTGAATTAGACACAAGAAGTCTGGTAACTTCCACAGTTTGTCTTTTTAGTATCAGATTCCCTCAGTAAGGAATCCAGGGACAACATCTTTATGAGGAGCAGTAAGACAGGGTGAAGCTTGATGAGGTTCACCTGTGTGTCTGTGTGTTAATGACCTACCTGACATTTGTGCACCCACCGTAACCTGCCAGATGTGCACTGATGGTGTAGTTAGTTATCTACACACCAAAGCTGGGAAGCAAGAGTGTCAGTAATACAGTGAAATCAGATCCAGAAAGTAGCATGGGCAAGGCACTTTATTAGGTACACCCTGCCAGTACCCAGTTGGACACCTTTTGCCTTCTGTCTTAATTTTTCATGGCATACATTCAACAAGCTGCTGGAAACCTCTGAGTTTTTGGTCCATGTTGACTTGACAGCATCACACAGTTTCTGCTTATCATGATGAGAATCTCCTGTTGCACCACATACCAAAGGTGCTCTGTTGGATTGAGATCTGGTGATCATGGAGGCCATTTGAGTACAGCAAACTCCTTGTCATATTAAAAAAAAACAGTTTCTGATGATCATAGCTTTGTGACATGGTGTCTTACCCTGCTGGGAACAACCATCAGAAGATGGCTACAGTGTGGTCACAAAGGGATGGAGATGGTCAGCAACAATACTCAAGTAGGCTATGGTGTTTAAAGATGCTCAGCTGGGCTGAGGTACCAAAAAGAAAACATCACCCACACCATTATACTACCATTGATTGGCTCATTAGATATTTGTGTGTACATTTTTAAATGGAGATCCAAGTCCAGATAGCAGCAAGGAAAAGATTAGCTGATGAATATAAATATGTGGGAACGCTAATGGATCCAAAACTGGCATTTGAAACAGAAGTGTTTTTAAAAAACTGTGAATAGAGTTTTATTTAATGTGGATATTTTAGGAATAATTTAACAATTAAATATTTAAAATAAAATTCCCACAATGGCTCGGTGACTGTGAAAAGATGAAATCAAAAAAATAAAATGCATCTCCACAATTGCTGCTACAGGTCAGTTGGGCTGACCTGCCCCTGGAAAACCTGCAGACCCCCTTATTGTATAATTGGGATAAGACTGAGGTGTGCACTGAGCATACCCAGAGGTCCCAGCTGTGGCACCTCAGCGGAGAACAGAGCTCCCATTGTGTGCGGCTGTAACCCAACACAGTGGCTCAGATTAAAGGCTGCGGTGCCGCGTGGTCTCTGCGGACAAAAATATAAACAGTGGGCCACTACAAAGGCGAAGGGGAAGCTAGGCCCCTGGTTTAATGAAGTTTACACTGCAGTGGCAAGATCTATAAAAAGACAAGTGAATGCACCGTTTCTTTCTCCTGCCACTCAGGAGCAGCATGGATGCACTGAAAAGAGAGGCTGGGGGTGCTTTAAGCAGCACTCACTTTAATGCCACTCTGATTTGTATGACAGCTGTTATTTGAAGTTCATGGCATTGATTAGGCCCAAAGAAAATATCAGTTAGATGGGTACTGGTCACATCTAACTGATCGACCGACGTTAGTAATATTTAAACTAAACATGGTTCCTGTGTATTTATGTTATATTAAATTTACATAATGTGGTTTCAAGTACCTTTCAAAGTTGCAACGTTTATTTCTTTCATAAATAAATATTAAACATGTGTTTTTCTAAAATTAGACTGCTCTCAATGTAATCTTCATTATCTTAAGTGACGATGAAGATTATATCCATAAAACATTTCAGTACAATAGCATTTAAGCCTCAAATACACCGGAGATCTTCAGCTTTACATTATCTCTTGATTGTTTTAAAGGTCATTTGTTCCATAAATTTTAAAACAGCCTGAGAAATAAGAAGCAAACTTGATGATTATTATTCGCATCTTCTTCTGTGGCTTGTTTAATAATATTTGTCTAGCATGTGGCTACACTTGCTTGCTACAGGTGACTGTTTATGATGGAAACTGAGCATCAAGCACAGCACCTCAGGATCACTGACACTGACTGTAATCCTGCTGTCGTTTATAGTTGCACAGTGCCATTGGCACCCCCCACTAAGAGCATGCTCACCATCACAGAGGCTGCACACAAACAGTATACACTCCCCACAATCATCAGCATTTTTCTAGCATATCTGCTCAGCATAATAACTAGCTCATGCCTTTTAAATCACTCTCTGAGATACTCATTGTTGACTTTCTGGTGATGCGTTTAGGTGCAGTCAGGTGAGCTTACCATCCACTAGATGACGCTCTCGGTTTTTAAAGACATTCACTTACAAATTGGATTTATGCGTACATTATGTAACGTGGGAAGTTTTCCCAGGAGTCACAAAACTTTTAGTTTGTTTTAGAAATTAATAGAAATGTACAAACTTTTATTGTGTTACACTACATGTCAAACACATTTTTGAACTACAAGGAGTTAATAAGAAGGAAAAATTTATGAATTAATTATTTGTCAGGTGTCACCTCTGGCTACAATACTCCCCGCTAGTGCAGGAGCTTCTAAAAACCGAGCTGAACCGAGCCGAGTCGGTCCAAACTGAGTGGGGCCTGGGAGTTCGGGGGTAGTCTGTGTGAGATCTGCTCCAGGACCAGCGGACTGCTTTTGAGTGGGTGGGCGGGTAAAGTGCGCTTGTTTGAGGAGGCGGAGCGGCCCGGAGGCTCAGAACGTCCTTCTGAAACGGTTCTCACTCACTCTCAGAAAACAACTCAGGACCAAATAAGTTAGCAAAGTGCGGCGCGGGCACTTTGCAAAAGAGTTTAGCTTTTAAAACCGCTCGAAGAAAACTTTTTTTCCAAACCTGGGATAAGTGAGCAAGCGAGAGCAACGACGCCGGTGAGTAACTAACTAGCTATCAGTAACTGTCCTGTGCGCGAGACTCTTTAACAGCCGTTAAACTCAGCCGGAGGAGAAAAAAATTAAACGAATAGAAGGGCCGCTTATTTTTCTACACAGCTCGTTTACTTCAGGTGAGTGGTACAGGTGAGAAATAGGTGAAGTAAAATTTGAAGATGGTGATGTGTTTCTGCCACCTGTTGCACTCAGCAGCCAAATAACGAGAAACTGCGTCAAATCAAAGCGCTACCTCTTCACTTTGGCTAACGAGCTACTGTATGATTTCAGTTCTCAGATCTGCATCCAATTAACTGTTTTTTATCTGACTTATGTTTACAATTGCTCCTGTAAGGTCACGTTGCTTCTACTGTACCTGCCGCTAGAGATTAGTGAACTCCCATTCATGTTACGTAACCTAATAATAGTTTCCCACCGTTTAAACCCTCACAGGCAGGTTTGTTTCCAACTTTTTCCAAAGTTTGGTCCCATCTGGATTTAGGTGTTTTGATATGTGAGTGGCTACAGGTGTTGACACAGAAAAAGACAATTTTTTGCACTTCACCCTCGCTTGCATCCTAACTTGCACTCTGGATGGACATCACAGGCAGCACAGGGGTCATTGAAGGAAGCACCGACCCTGTGTAGGACAGTGAGGCAGCTCACTGAGAGTTTCCTCCTTTTTGGAGTGAAAAACACAATGGGAGGAAAAAGTAACACACTTGTTGGAGCCCTTGTGTG